ATAACGTATATTATTTACGGACAAAGCAATCGTTGTTACTGTAATATTTTATAATATTATTATAATTCATACAAAATTATTATATAAATTACATTTAGTTTACTTTTATTTTATTCCTATTTCTTTTCGTAATTTCATGATAAGTGTTCTATAAAAAAAATTAAGAAATGTGAGGTAAATTAAAATTTCATTGATATTGTACAAGATTTCTCTGTTTCTGTCTATTGATAATTATATAGAACAAATTTCAAAACTTGCTGCTAGCATGTCTGAACAGAAAGAAGTTCGTTTTTGTCCGACATACCTGATCCAGTACCGTTAAGTGGACTCATTGTTAGAACGAATTTCGTTTCCCCTACTAAATACAATCTTTTGGTCACTGTTACTACACATAAATTTTACAGAGATATCAATATGAAAAGTAATAAAATTCGTATACATATATAGCATTGTCCCGTGTTCTTTAGTTCCTGAATTCGATAAAAATAAGCCGCTTGTAACTGGTTTGGAATGGGAAGATCCGGAACACATAAATCGAATAAGTGCGTCGGAACACCGACGATTATGTCTTATTCTTACTCAGATTGCCATCCTTGTAAATAAAAGGCGGCTTGTATTGAGGCCTTATTTTCAAGACTATGAACTGGTGTGTGTTGATTTTTTCTTAAAATAATATTAATTTTATTCTGTATTCTTACTTAAAGTAATATTTATATATTTTACAATTCAATTATAAATTATCGACGATTCCTTTTCCAGATCGTTAAAAATATCGGAACTGTAACTTTCACACATTTTGGACGAATTTTAAAATTCCTAGGTATTGTGCTTGCCTCTGAAGAGTTTTGTTTGCTTGTAAAAAGATTCGCAAAAGATGCTTATACGATTAATTACGTGGCTTTCTTGAAGGCCATTGACGAAATCCAATCTCACTTTGACAAACATGGAATGTTGGCTCTTGGTGGAGTAATATTTTGTCCTGCATACATTAAGAATGAATGTTTTTATTTGATTTATCATGCAGCAATGCAAATGCATCTATTTTAGTATTAAAGTAAACTTAGTAACAGTTGAATATAGTTACAAATAATAACTAATTTTGAAATAGAGCCACGGTAAATATGAAATATTTTAACCAATTTATTTAAAAGGAGTTACTTGACCAATTTCCTGGTCGAATCATCACGGCTGAATTACCGAAACTTCCAAGACCGGAAATTGGTAGACTCATACCAAGCAAAGTATTTGGAAAACAAACAGCATTTCATCCGGTGATGAATGAGCCGAAAGATGCAATGCCTTTGATAGAAGTTGTCCAACGCATTCAAAGACACATTTTCGAAAATCGAATACGTATTTCTGAATTTTTTAAGGTTATGTACAACGTTTTACCATAAGCATTTTTACTAATTTAAATATTTAAGTTCATCCTTCTTTTATTCATAGAACAATGCTAAACAATAGTATAATTTAAAAGAAATTGTTACATTCTATTTATTACTTTGTTATCGTAGTACATTTTATAGACAAATAGAAATAACAAGTAAAACGTTAACAATTAAAATTATTAACAGAGCTTCGATCCTTTGAATGCGGGGAAAGTGACAATTTCTCAGTTTAAGAGAGGATTAGATAGTCTTCAAATTTCTAGTTTAGGACGTCTTTATCTTGCGGAAACGGAAATCGATGGGCTTGTCACGCTTTATAAAGACCCAAATGATCCAGAACGTATGTGCTGGCGTACGTTTGAAGATGATATTGATAAAGGTACTTCTTTTAAACACAGTCCGTGATTTAATATATTTTCGATAGTTTCCCTTGTGATTCGTGCATTTTGTTAAATAAATATTTTACGCACAATTTCCATTTCTTTTATAGTATTTACTGTGAAGGAACTTGAGAAATTGTCGAGTTTGAAAATTAAAGCACCGCCAAAAGAAATAGCGGAACTGAGTCGAAAAGGAGCGTTAAATTGGCAATCCGAACGAAAAAACATAAGAGATCTTTGTGAAGAAACATTATTAAAAATTAGACACCGAGTCGAGGAGAGAAGAATTTTATTAAAACAATTTTTTAAGGATTACGATAGGTCCTTGATTTTCATTTCAATTTATTAACACTGTACATTCACATAGAATCTTGGAATTACAATTACTCTTTTCTGTTTCGAATTATTTTCTAGACATAATAAGGGTCATGTATCGCGTTCGCAACTACGCCAAGTTTTAAGAACTGCGGCAGTGTTACTCTCTGAAGAAGAGGAAATTGCATTAGAGCAAAGGTATAACAATGATTTAGGTTTTAATTATAATTGGTTTTTGATGGAATTGGAGGCCCGAAAAGTCGAAGAGCCTTTGTACAACTCTGTATTGCAAGAGAAGAAAACGATCAACTCTGAAAAACGAACACCGGAAGCTACAGCTGAAGAAACAAACATTGTTTTAATTTTAGCAAAAATCAAAGCTAAAGTTGTACGCGAAAGAGTGAGGGTAATGTGGAGGATGGCTATTTTTACGTTTTTCTTTATACGGCAATTATTCTTTATTCGTTTCTTTTACACGAAGGTTATCGAATTTATGCGTCAATACGACGTTCATAATGAACAAGTTATAAAAAGAACGGAGTTTCTACGAGGATTGGATCAACTACGATGTAATTTGACCTGCGCAGAAATGGAAACAATTATAAAAGTTTTTCAAGCGCCTTTAAGGTACAAAGATATACAAAATTGTTGTCTTTTTTTTATTTTTCCATCAATCGAATTAACTTCCAATGCAATACGCAATTATGTCTTACGTTGATATTATTAAACAATAATATTTAATATTATTGTTGCATCATTCTATCGGGCGAAGCGTGAAGAAAAATATTTTAATACTCAAATATTTTTGGTCTGTTCATTTATATTTTTAATGTTACTTTTGTAATACAGATATAATTATCAGTGAAGTCAATATCTATACTCTACCTATCTACCTATAAAGCGAAAGGGATTTCGAATGTTTTAATTTATAATTTTATGTTGAAGGTCAAATTACGTTAATTACGTTAAATTTGGAGAAGTGGTCGAGGAAGCTGTTGCTATGGGAAGTTTAGAGAGAGCCCCACTTTTAGTGCCTGTACAACATGTGCCCCCGGAAGCTACTCCCAAAACATTCTTAAATTTCGATGAAAGGCATATGGTTACAACGGCAGTGGACAAGCTGAGTAGAGTGCTGCAACCAAATCTCGAGGAGTTATTTAAGGTTAACAAATACGGAAACGGTCTGCTTACAATTACAAGTCTTTGTTATTTTGAAATTGTTTAATGATTTCATATTTAAATTAATTACGTATTAGGATCAAAATATATTCTGTAATTAATACCGTAAAATTACCATTGCAGACACTTTACTAAATATTTAACTCGCATAATATTGATAATCTTTCAAATTATGTTTATTTAATTTTGAAATATTTAAACTCCTGTGATTCTATAGAAAAATCTTTACATTACAGGATTATGATAGAGAAAATATCGGAACGGTTTCAAAAGAGTGTTTGTTAAAAGCTTTATCTGTCAGGCATATGTTACAATTAATCAGTAACAGAGAATTGGATGTCATGCACAAATGCTTTGCTGTGGAAAGAGGTGGCCGTTTGGAAATTGATTATCGAGCATTTCTGCGCGCTTTATATCTGATGCGAGAAAATAGGAAGCATCTACCTTTCTAGCATGTTTGAACAATATAATAAAATGGAGAAAAAAATCTGCTGTTATATGTACATATATGTAGAATGTAGGATGAAAGTGAATCAGGCTATGTTATCAAAACTTTGAACGTACATAAAATATTATGCAATATAGTTGAACGGTTTTAGGTGCCCTAATTTTTTATTGATAGTAGTTGTATCTAAAAAAAAAAAAAAAAACGTTACACTATTCTTACAGAAAAATATTTGTAGATAATGCATTGATCTGCAACGAGTAAACGTTTAAGATGTTTTACGCATTATTTTTCACTTGGGTTGCACCTGCCGTTTTGCAGGAAGGGGACAATGGAATCTTACCCTCTTGAGTGAGATACAATCCCTTCGGTATTTCGCCTAACCGTCATAACCGACGCTCATTCTTTCTTTGCTTTATTTTATACGTTTCTTATGCACATTACAAAACCTGTTGGGTTAGATTTTTTCATACATCGATGCTAATCTGTATGTTGATTTTCTTCATTTAAGACCAAAGGTCATCTACAGATTATTTGGCAGGTACATATAAGAAACCGCGGATATTCCTTTCTCCTAGTTGCGTCTAACTTTTTCATGCAAGAGTGCGATAAAGATCGGTAAGCTACAATCGTTAAAAATCGTCTTATTTAATTAAGAACGGACACAGTTTCTTTTATTTCAAGTGAGGAGGTTAGTATGAAATAACTTGATTGTTTTCTTTTATTAATAATTTGATTGGAATTCCACCTGGGATTTCGATACGTGTTTAATTTTAGTATATAATAGTGCGAAAAATGTATATTTCTTATGCCTTAATATTTACTGTTATTTAATAATAATATAGAATAGACTTATCACCATAGGCGAGATACACTATAGACCTAACACCTAATGTATTTTTGTATCCCACGTTCTGAAATACCGATCGTGTAAAAAGTCAGAAGTTTTGTTATGCCCTTTACGGCATAAAGCGATGAGTTTAGGAATTATACCTACGCAATCCAACCGTCAACTATGATAAAGTCGACAGATGGAAAAGATCCGTTTTTGTTAAATCTGTATATAAAGATATATACATATATTGGATTGAACACACGCATGGGATGAATTATCCACTGATTATCCACTTATATTTTTTATTACAATATAATGAGAATATTATGAATTTATGAAATTTTGTTGATGAGAGCATAGACGATGTATAGGATAGACCTTGCATCTTATGGAACGTTTTGTTCGGGGCTTTGGGGCCAAGACCTTTACCATTTTCGTGTCGCTACCAACGTTACCGATTCAGTATAGAATAAGATTACAACATTAGTAATGGTTGGAATTGAAATTAAACATAACTATGAAATTACAAATAAGAAAGTAACGTAAATGTTTATTAGTAGATGATTCATCACATGAGCGTGTTCTACTGCTCTCAAAAGATGAACAATTCTACCCACGCAATCCATTATATGTATCTATCTTTATATGCAAATTTAATAAAAGAGGATTTTTTACATCTGTCGATTTTACCGTCTTGATTTTATCACCTTTGCCGCATATTTTCAGAGACGCGTACATTTTTAGAATAAATTCTATTGGTTAATTAGTTGACGTTGAAGCGGAGAATGTAAAAACTATTGGTGGACAATGGGTTCATTAGCAACAGCCAGGGTTACGGGAACTCTAAAAGGGGCAAGAGTTTCGGTTTCTCCCAAAATGACGTGTCCAGGCCTTTACCTTGAACGGACGTTCGGACCAAGGTCTCGTCTATTGTTTGTCAGCTGAAAGTACAGGTAGAATAACGGAACTTTGCTTGCTGTATGCGACGCATTAGTGAGTGTAAAATTTCTTAAGCGTTACTAATTTACACAAGCGATTTGTATATGCTATAGACATATAGTCGCGTTGTACAAAATGAAATCGAGAGTCGATTGTCAAGTAGCACGTCCGGTGGTCCGGAAAAATAAGGAAGGTCGTGCTTTGTCATATCTAATTTTACACGATGTCCAGGTAAAACTGATCTGAGGAAAACGTAGCATGAGTCAGCATGCGTGGTTTCGCTCTAAGGGGCACGTTTCGCAGATTCCAAAAGCGGACTTTCTCTAACAGTAGCAACTTTCATAAACATTATCTTCTCAAGAGCAAAATATCAGACGAAATTTTGATTCAAAATCGACAGTCAAAATATTTTACATTTGACCTAGGACACTCCGTATATTTTTTAAGATAGGGCTAACAAACCTCCACCGACAACCGTATAAGCCCCGCTATCAGTCAGCCAATTCCCCCACTAATCAGCTGGCTAGCTCCAACTTCATGTATAGTCGCCGCAGAAATACATATAGCATGGTCGTAAATTAACGCATCGAATGGCGGTACATTCATATGTACAGATTGACGCTGCGGCACTCAAGGCTTTATGTCGCTTGCAGCTGCAGGGTTCCAAACAATAAACTGGAAAAGACTGTCGACTAACTGTAGCTCATTTACTACCAGGATAATTGTAAATTGTGTTTAACATTTGGAATATTTGAATGAACTTTAACATTAACTTTTAGAACATTAACCTAACCTTTATCCTATTTTGTCGCTTAAATCGCTGTTCCAACGTACAAGACGATTTTACCAGACGTACTCGTAAATAAGTACTTGATAAAGCATCGTTTGAATTTCAAGACCGAGCGTCCAGGATGAATGCCTCAGTTAAAATTGTTGAAATATAGTATTATCAGATACATTTAATACACGTGTCTGTATTTATAAGGAAATTCTGCACATTTTTAGACCTGTGAAGAAGATCAAATTTTTTTAAAATAAAGGTAGTGGAGGATGTTTTTTTCATTTAAGAACAAATTTTTAACACTTTCATTGCACAGTTTAATAGAGCATAAAAAGTCGTTAAATTTTCATTCTAGCAATTTTTTTATATTTGCTACAATTTTCGAGAAGCACAGGTTAATAAGAAAACATCAAATTAACATTTAAGGGGTATTTTCGCCCTGAAGAGTCAAAAAGTAGTAAAAAAAAAAATTGCCTGATACGTTCGTTGAGGTCCTCTACGAACCTACAAAGTTTACAAAAAAAGTTGGAATTTTTGGGTTACCAAAGGTCCATTGTCAGCAGTGCAGGTAAGTAGGGGCTGGAGCCGCCAGTTCGTCACCCCTGCCGAAGGATACATAGACCGTTTCCGTTTTACTACCATATACAGGGTGTCCCTGTTAACACGACAATCTAAAATATCTCTGTTGTGTTTAATAATACGGGAAATGGCCGAGGAAAAAATTGTGTAAGAAAATGTGAAATTTCTGAAAGCGGTTCTAAATGGCTATCTATTTATTGTTAGGCAGAGGTTACGGGAGGTTTTCTTATGGACTACGAGCAAGTCAGGTCAAAGGATAATTTTGGGCGGGACCCGAGATGCACTGTAGACGACGACAGCGCGTTGTGGAAAATAAATTTTACAGTCTTAAGGCGAATTTCTATTTCTTTTATCAAACCGTTTAAAAAGTAAAACCGATACACGGTTTAGCTAGCGAGAATTTTTATCTGGCTCTTACAGTTGTAAGATTTAAGGGAGCCTTTATTATCCTCGACAGAATAATTAGATCAAAGTCGTATTTGTAAAGATTTATATTATATTAAAGATATTATAACAACATATGAATAATTGAAAATAGGTTAAATATCATATTTTGATTTATTTTCGTCAAGAAATATTCACCAATCTATACATACTATTTTTACTAAGATAAAGTCAAACATTTCAGAACGCAAATTTTGATTAGTGAATAATTTCCGTTGTGATAGGTCTATTTTGTACCTCGTTTATGATTGCGTCATTTATATTGTCACAGCTGATTTGAAGGATGGATTTTGCATTTTGTGAGACTGTCTGAAATATCGACTTGTTAGAACAGAATCAATGGTGTTCTTGCGCCCTCTACGATATAACGTGGTGGTTTTCATAATTATATTCAGGCTACGCATAGTCGATAAGGAAACTCCTGATTTTTTGTCATACGATTAAAATACCAGCATCGTTCAAAATCACTGGTTTTGAAGTGCACGCTATGCTTAAGAACGGTCATTTTAAGAACTGCATCGGACAAAACGATCGGTATTGGTCAGGAAGTAAATCCAGAGTTAGCATCCAAGACAAGATTACATGTACATTGTTACGATGTTATCAATAGACCTTTAGATCCCAAAACGCAAATGCATGTGTCTGAATTCATTCTGATTCATCCTAAGATTCGAAATTTTGTTTCCTTCATTTTTTAAAATAACAAATGCCTATCAGTGTTCTTGATTTCAATTCCTACCACTAACAGCGCAGTGATATAATACCAGCCCCTTTAATTTAAACGTTTAAATTGAAATTAGAGTTAAACGTTTAATTCTAATTGCAACTACTACCACAGACGACGTACAAAACAGACCTAATATATTGAGATTTTTTGTCCGGGGCTTTGGGGTCGAGAAGACCCTTACCATTTTCTTCTCGCTACCAACGTTACCGACTCAGCATAGAATAAGATTACAGCGATAGTAGTGGTTGGATTTGGAATTAAATGTAACTATGAAATTACAAGTAAGAAAGTAACGTAATTGTTTATTAGTAGATGATTCATTATATGCGTATGTTCTACTGTTGTCGAAAGATGAATAATTCTATCCACACCATTCAATATATGTATCTTTAGGCGCAAATTTAATAAAAGAGAATTTTTTACATCCGTCGACTTTACCATCTTTGATGGTTGGATTGTATGTAATTTCTAAACTCACCGCTTTATATCGTAGAGGGCATAACAAACACTCTGATTTTTTACACGATCGGTATTTCAGAACGTTGGACACAAAAGTACGTTGTTTAGGTGCTAGGCCTAACCTATGTCTCATTTGTGATACAGATTACAATTTAATAATAAGTCAAGGTTCTTATCCTATATTACAATAGATACGAGTTATATTTAAATATAAAGTAAAATTATGATTATGGTTTCATTTAGTTCGCTATGGATATGTATTTATATGGATAAGTGCGTTGAAACTATGGAGGGTGGATTCATATGAGAATCACAGAGTGTAGACCTCGTGGCTGGTTCGCATGAGTCGCAGAGCATGTGCGTACAGTTTGCATGATATAGCTTGCAAAACATTGGTGATTTTATGTAGATCTAATGAAAACTATAAACATTTAGTACTGAGCTATTATGTGAGTCCCGAATGTTACTTATTTCTTTTCTGTCTCGCAAAAGTGTAGTAGTCAAAACACATCCTAGAACGATTTCACATTTGTGGCGCAGTTGCCACATTCTGTCACCGCCGCGTCTGTTAGTATAAACTCAATATTGTTTGTAAGAATGTTCTGTTTTTAGTATTGTGCGCTTTTATGCGATTTTATATCTGCTACCAATTCACCTGAAACTTCTGTTTCCTATCTAAATAAAGTAACAATTACGAACATCCAATTAGTTCACACAGTAACATCTATCATCAAAACTGAAACTATTGCGGATCAGTTGCCAAAGTTCTCCTGATGAAATTGAGTCCAGACGCGACTTTATTCGAACCATTTTAAATTGTACGTAAAATATGAATTTAAGTATTCGAAAAAGCTATATCTATATGGAAATTATAAATGAATTTTTATTTTGTAGTACTTTAGGTAGTGTTTCAAAATCTGCAAAAATATTATTATATTTCTTGAAGTGTTGTCTACAACATATTAATTTTTTCATGGAATTCATTTAGAAATTAATACTTCCATATTAAATTTGAACGAACCATCCCCATCATTTGCGCCTCTAGCTCACCATACCAAAACCTAAATATCTATAAGGAAAATGTACAGATGTCGCTAGTGTGAGCGAAATGCGTTACTTGAAGTGGATAACGTTCGCGTCACAATGAATCATCCAATAACGAAAATATCAATTTTTGTAATTTTCATTAGGTTCTCCCCATGAAACTAAATCGAAACACGACATAAATCGGACTAGTATTAACACATCTTAACAAACGTATCAATATAATAATACATATGTATCTGTAATTTTTGAATATTAAAAGCAGCCTTTTGTGTGAAAAAGTAATTGCACATTTGCGAAACTCAATCTCTCCTGTGTAAAAGGATAAGAAAATCATTAACAGTTTTATTTTATGCGGCCAAGACATGTGAAAATCGGAAAAAATTAACAGCATAATAATTTCTGCTTAGAATTATCGCTCCAATAAACTGTTTGTTCACCCGTATAAAAGCAATCTGTAAAGATGAACAAAATATTAGGTTAATTGAAAAGTTTTGTCATCAGGTATTTCGTGCACATTTGCAATTCCGTTCAAAGATTTCGAAAAATGACAGAAAGCTCAGGTATATGACGTATATCCATTCTAATTGTCGAAATATGAACTACTAAAACACGATGCAATGTTTTCAGAAGTTATTTGATTTTCGTCGTTTGTTTAATAAACATCTTGTATGATAAAGTGCTTTTTGGACATTATATTTTGTACAGCTGCAAGATGGGGAAGTTTATACGGTGTGTTTGGTAGAAATATTGCACTTGTACGCATAGTGGAAAGTGGTTGAAAATATTTCGATTTGAAGATTTCAGCCTTGGCGATGAAGCATGTATAGTCGGTGGAAGAAATATGGCGAGTTGTAAATTAAAGCATTAAGTAACGACACCGATTGCTACAGTAACACGCAGAGTCGATGCTATATTTTTCGTTTTTCCTTTGGAACTGAATCGAACATACATCATGTGACCTTGACTGAGGTTTCGGGTCCTGATCTTAGGTTTCTGCTGATTCGGTTGTCGATATACTGGAATATGTAAACTTCGACGCCTAACAGATTTCACGATCTCGCTATATTTCTTCCATCGACTATACCAGCAGACCAACTATTGTTCATAATGACGTTAATTGGACCAAGTTGGTATAAAATAACTTGGTGAAACACAATCAACAATAGCGGAAGATATTCATTGGCCTAGTCCAATACAGTAATTATAGAAATAGAGTTTAGCAAGTACAAAGAAAATAGTGTTCTGCTACGATAACGCTGATTCTTACGCGTTTTGAAGGGCTCGATACAAGTTGAATAAAATAGAATAAAAAATAATAATAATTAATATATCACATAATAAGATTTTTCGACAATTCATTAATAGGAAAAAACATTAACATTGAAAATCAACTTGTGAACATATTGCCACATAAATATTTGCCATTACTGTATATAAGTACAAGTAGGAATGTAATGATAACACTGCGCTAAGTTCGTGAAATGTTGAAGCATTGCATAAAAAATAGCACAAGCCATAAACGTACAGTGATTGGACCAGTGTCAATTCTGTATTCATTACTATACATTAAACGCAGCCGTGCGACAATACACGCAAGTAGAAAGTTCGGTTTTACTTAACGAATGACTGTGAAAAGGAATTCAAATGCTAAACACGAATCCAAAATGTTACTAACC